AGGCAGAAAGTGGATCAGAGATTGCCTGAACTAAAGAAAAGAAACGTAGAGAGCTACTGCTCAAGGGCTGCAGTTTCTGTCCCGCTAATGAAATGGTTTTAGAAGCAGAGGCTGATGGTGGCATGCTTGCACCAATGTGATTAGTGTCACTAAACCAAACACTTAAGAATGATGAACATGGCAACTTTTATATTACATATTTAACACAATAAAAATTACAGTTTCAGAATTTGTATAGATAAGAAGCTTTGGTCTGTGTGATCCTAGGCAAATCTCAACATGTTCAAGCTTCAGCTTCATCTAAATAAAAGAACAAAATTAATTGTCAATGCATGAGACATAGAGAGCAGGACACCAGACTAGAAGTTGTAATGGGGGTGAAAGAAATACTCTGTATAAATGAAAGTATTTGATCTTTCACTTCCTTGGTTATATTTCTTTTTAAGTATTTAACTTCTGTTGATGCTATTGTTTGTGGTATTAATTTCCTGATTTCTTTCTCAGTAAATTTATTGTTGGCATCCACCTATGGTACTGAATTTGATTACTGATTCTAGGAGTCTTTTGATGGAATTTTTGGGTCTTTTATGTAAAAGATCTGCCACCTGAAAATAAGGATAATCTGACTTCTTCTCTTCCTATACTTATCTCTTTTATTTCTTTCTCTTGCCTAAATGATCTGGCTGATGTTTTGAAAACTACATTAAGCAAGAGAATTAGCTAGGGAGATAGCTCGGTGGTCTAAGCAACTGCCTGGCAAGTACAAGGACCTGGGTTCAATCCCCAGTTCTGCATGCTGTGCCAACCCCAGAAACCTGAGTGTACCATGCTGGCCCCAAAATTGGGCATGAGGGTGCACACTTGCAATCTCAGCAATGGGGAGTCTGAGACAAAAGGATCACTATGAGTCCAACCTGTGTAGTGAGAAGCTGTACCAAATAAATGAAAGTTTTGGGGTTTTTTGTCTTTTTTTTTTTTTTTTTTTAAAGAGGATTATAGTGGACATCCTTGTCTTGTTCCTGATTTTGGAAGGAAATCTTTCAGTGTTTCCTAACTTAATATGACACTGGGAGAATGTCTGTCATAAATGGTTTTTACCAGATTGAGATAAGGTCCTTGTATATCTATTTTCTTCAGGTTTTTTAAATCATGGATGGATGTTGAATCTTGTGAAAGGCTTTTTTCTGTATATATTGAGATAATCAAGTAATTTCTGTCCTTGCTTCTGGTTATGTGATGAGTTACATTTATTTATTTATGCCTGCCGAACCATCCCTGATTCCCTGGGATGAAGATGATTTGGTCATGATTTATTATCTTTCTGATTATTTTTTGCATTCTGTTTCCCAGCATTTTGTTTTGGATTTTTGTGCCTACATTCATTAAAAACATTGACCTGTAGTTTTCTCTTTCAATTGCATTTTTCTGGTTTTGGAATCAGGGTATTGCTAACTTCCAGGAGTGACTGTGAGAGCACTCTTTCCCTTCCAATTTCAGGAAAGAGCTTAAGGAGAAGTTGTATTAGATCTTCCATAAAGTTCTGGTATAATTTAGCAGTAATTCATCAGAATTTGAACTTCTCTTACTTATTAGTTTTTCTTCAGTTTCACTGACTGATATTGGATTGTTCTGGGTTTTTATATGTTCTTGGTTCACTTTTGATAATTCATATCTATGTAGTAATCTATGCATTCTTTGGTATTCCCCAATTTATTAGAATACCAGTTCTCAAAGTACTATCTAATAATCTTCTGAATTTTGGTGATGTCCATGTAACTTTACATTTTTCATTTCTAACTGCACAAACTTGGGTATTTTCTTTCCTTTTTTTATTTTGGCAAGATTGGCTAGTTTGTTTACGTTTTCAAAGAACCAATTCTTCCATACATTGATTCTACTGTTTTTTGGCTATAAATTCATTAATTTCTGCTGATATTCATAATTCATAATTCTTTCCTTGTACTAGCTTTGATTTTTGAATTGTCCTCATTTTTCTAGGACCATTAGCCACTATTTTAAAAATCAGCTAAAATTACATGTTCATCAGTGAGAACCAACCCATGTAAGTTTTCATTCCTAGTAGTATTGTGTTATCAATTACAAGAAGGCATTTCAGCTAATAAGTAGTCTCCTAAGATGTAAACAATTATGAGTAAGGCCTAATGGAGCAGTGAGGTCATTGGACAGGAGGCAGTGAACATGAGAGAGGGGAGAGACACTATAAACAAACTGAGCCCTGGCTACTAGTGAGGCTCAGGAAGTTAATAGACCATTTGGCCCCAGCAATTAAGGAGCAGCCCGAGAGTCCAACTCAATTCTGTAGACTTTCTTCAGTCTACAGAAGAAATGTAAATCCTATGACTTCCTTCTAGGCAATGTCAGCCACAGATGAGAGACTTGGAATGTTCATGTTTCAATTGTAACTGATTTTTATAGAGGAAGAGGTTGGAAAAACTGAGAGAATGGTGAATGGCAAAGCAGATGCTTGGTGTCCTTATCTTCAGGTATCACATCAATAAATAAATATATGAGTCGTAATGCTCCATCTAATCAGCCCACATGGGTGGACTATGCAAGGCCAATATGAACACCCCTCATCATTAATTTCTCTGGGGCCGGGGAGATAGGATAGCTCAGTAGAATAAGCGCTTGCCTGCCAAGACAAGGTAGCTCAGAATCCACACAGGACAGATGCATCAAACTATCTTTTCATCCTTTAAGTGCATGGTTCATCTGACTGTCATGGTTCTGACTCCATGTTCAACAGTATTCTATTTCCTGGCTTACCTTCTGGATCTTTAGAGTGAAAATATGCCTCTCATTTATCTGTAAGAATCAAAATTTTGGAATTCAAAGTTCAAAGGGTTTTTTAGAAATTCAGCTGAATGAATCCACCTTATGACTTTAATTAAGTGATCTACCTATGAGAGTTGCATCTGCTGCTGATTTGCAAGAGAGAGAGACAAAGACAGAGA